CCACCCAGCCAAAGCTGCTGCAACACCTCTCCTCCAGCCATAGTGCCAGAGAGGACAGGGCTCCTTTCCCTCTTAGTCCATGTCCTTGGCTTTTTGGGAAATGTCCCACCCCAGTGCCTCCCCTGACCACCGAGGGACAACCATCTTCCCCTCCTCTGGCTCTCCTGACCAGTCCAGGGCTTTAGTTTCTTTGCCTGCAAAGCTGGGATAACACCCCTCCTGAGAGCACTGTAGCTGGAACTGGCTGGGACAATGTCACTGGGGCCTGCACAGGCCCCGGCAGACCCGAAGCATCCATTTGTGGGGCTGTCCTGGGGGGACAGCTCCTGAGGGGCTTTCTGGGGACTTCCTGGCAGGGTGATCTGTGACTGGGTGATGAGGTCTAGGCAGATGCTGTCTATGCCCATGGCTGGCTCTAGCTGGCGGGCAGGGGCCTTACTGAACAGGTGTAAGCCCAGACAGGCTAACCTGCCCTCACCATGGATGGGCCTTGGGAGGTTGCTGGCTAAAAGCGCCCCAGGCTGGGCCTCATCCTCTGATCCTAAGGTCCCCTTGGGCTTGGCCCTGGGAGCCAGTTTGGGGGAGAAGAGCCCTCCCACAGTTGGTCCTAGCCAGCACGGTGCCCAGAGCCCCCAGGTGAGGAAGGAGGGCACGGCTGCTGTATCTGTCCTCCTGATGGCCCAGGGCTGGTGGGAGACGGGAGTAGGGTCAGGTCGCCGGAGCCAGGATGAGCCCGGCACCCAAAGGAGACAGGGTGATGTGTTCTGGGAGGCTGTCTAGGGCCACCCCCAGCTTCCAGGTCAGCCCATGAGATCTCCCACTTGGCCAGAGCTGGAAGGGAGGGATAACCATAGGGCCTGACAGCAGGTGAGCATCTCCTGTGTCCCAAGTTCTGGTCTCACAGCAGGGAGGCGGGTGACAACAGCACTCAGTCTGCACACTCTAAAAACAGACCGTGCCTGAAAGCTGGCTCCGCACTTACTGTCTGTGTGACCTTAGGCACGTTACTTAACCTCTGCATGCCTCAGTTTCTAAAATGGGCTGAGAACAGTACTTACCCTCAGAACTGTCACAGGGTTAAATGAGCCATACACTTAAGACAGCAGCTGTCACACAGCCAAGTGCCCAGCAAATCCTCCCCTGCCAGCACTATTCCCGAAGGAGGAACTGAGGCTCAGAGACTCTGCGGGTGGGAGACACAGGTCATACCTACTGCCACCCAAGGCCCACACCTAATGAAGGAATGTCGGTTAGGAGGGGCTCAGAAACAGTCCCGTCGCCCCCTTTTATGGGTGAGGAAACCGAGGTTCAGAAAGGCCCCAGAGGCTCCTGGCTTCCCCACACTTCCAGCCCTGTGGTGTCACGCCCGGGGGTGCTGGACACACAGTCCCAGAGACCCGGGGCAGGCTCCTTCCCTCCCTCCCCCTTCCTACTGCACACCCTCCTCGAACTCCTGCAAGAGATCTCTCTTTCATGCTCCTGACGCATAACCCTCTTAGAAACTGGCCGCTCCACATGCGCTCCCTTGCCCGAGATCCACCCACAAGAAGGTATCAACTGCTTTTAAGTTTCAAACAGAGTCATTCACGGCTGGCTTGCCCGCCACCTCCCATGGCAGGGTCCCCACTACTCTGCAGCTCAGCTGGCAGAGGACAGAAAAGAGACCTCAGACCCAAGTCCTCCTTCCCTGGATCCTCAGTTTACCCCTGCCTGCCGAGGCTGGCGACTGGGCCAGGTCTAGCCACATCCTAGAGCCGCCAGTCCTGCCCCAAGAGCAGTGTCCCCAGGCCGGAGTGTCACTGCCCCTCCAGACCTCAGTTTCCTCCTCTGGAGAATGACGACCATGGGCAATTAATAGGAGGCTTGCGTTTTTGTACTTATGTTATTATTTACTTAATTTTACAATAAATGGTTGCATGTGCCTTAGAGGAACCAGAAACAAGGAAGAGGTGGACTATAGATTGAAGAACAAACAAGCTTCAGAACAAAAGCTAAGGAAATCAAAACAGAAGGTTGGGGGGAATCAGTTGCACACGGGTAAGACTTAAAGGCCCTCACAGGAACTACATGTAAGACTATTACTAGACTCCATGCTTCCTGGTGGCCAAAGTAAAAAGGGAAATTGGGC